CACACACACACACACACACACACACACACACACACACACACACACAGTCTGATAGCCTGCATGAGAGCCCACTACTGGGGTCCAATTGATTGGGACTACGGGACCCTCACAGTGAAAATCACGCTTAGTGATCACCAAAAAACACTCACACACTTACAAATACACTTTTGCATGCCCAGGCACATACACAGTCAATAAGCGTAGACGCTAATCGCACTACAGGATAAAAGAGGCTTGACATATATACAGCAAGACTCATTTTGTGTGAAAGACCCAAAGCCTTTCAGAGGGAATGATTACACAATAATACACATTCATGCATGTGTGCACAAACACACAAAATCAGACCCGCAAAACACCTCTTACCCCCTCCTGTCACACCCACTTTAGAAAATCAACCTTGTTGCCTTTTGCGCTTTACCATTCCCGCCTAGGGCCCTGATAGGCTCAGATGGCTCCACAGGAATCGATTCTCTCAACCCAATCGAAACCAAGTGGGAGAAGAAAAATAAGAAGGAGGAAAAAAACCCAGATATATAAGCAAAAAAAAAAAAAAAACAGATTTTCTTAGCTTTGTTTAGCCCAGTTTTGGGGGTTTTTGGGGTGTATTTTGCAGATATTTCCATTCAGAGCACGCTTCACAACAGGGCAGAGGCTCAAATGTTTGCCCACCCAAACAATGAGGGGATTTGGAGGAAGGAGAAAGTGTTATTGTTGGTGGGAGTGGAGAGACACCAGCTACCAGATAACACACACAGGAAGGATGCCGGCTACACACGGGCAGACATGCTACAGTGGACGCAAACACACATGGGCAGGTGAACAAATACACGCACAAAAACACATTAAACAGACAATCGCCTCATAAGAATACAAAGTCCAATCTCTTTACTCTTTGTCTGCTTACACACACACAAACATTCTCTCACACACACACACACACACACAGACACAGACACACACACACACACACACACACACAGAGAGAGTAGTGCAAGCTGCCAGTATTATCAGAGTGAGTGGGGATAAGGGTGTGCGTGTGTGTGTGTGTGTGTGTGTGTGTGTGTGTGTGTGTGTGTGCGTGTGTCATAGGGAGATGGAGGAGGTGGGCAGCAGACCAAAGCCATCCATCTAGGGGAGCCAATAGTGCACAGCACAGGCTACAGGCTTCACAGCACCAAATGCACAAGCACACATACACACACTTTATACACACAGTGTGGTGCCCTTGCGAGGGTTACAGCTCTAAGGGTGTTAAGATGGTGGAGCCCAGAGCCATCAATCTTTACCCAGCAGCCTTGCTTGACCTGCCCTCTGACACACACACACACACACACACACACACACTCTATACACATGGATGCACCCCCGCATATACCAAACCCTCCTCTTTCCACACAAAACACAAGTTGCACAAATGCAATCTCTCCTCTCTTGTGCTCTTCTTTGTGAGTTTCTCTCCATCCTTCTCCCTCCATCTTCCTCACTCCCTGTCCATCTTTATCTCTCGCTCGCAGACTCCTGCTACAGTATGCATCACACTAACTGATTGGCGCCTCTAAAAATGATAGCAATCATGTGCCGGCCGATGAACAGTGGACTAAAAAGGGGAATGACCATTGATTTTCATTCTCGTAGGTGCTGAGTTATGGCGAGGCATTGTGCACAGGAGCTCCGACTATAAGACAAAAGGATCGAGCCGAGACTACAATCTGAGATGTGGGCCAGTCAATAGTCTGAGCCCAAAAAAATAAAAACAGAAAGAGACACAGGGAGAGAGGGAGAGATGAGAGAAAAGATGGGAGAGAGGAGAGGAGAGGAGAGCTTTATTCCAGCTGGTAGGAATCTAATGGTGTGGAGAGTGTGGGCTATTTCAATTTCAATAAGACGACATGTCCAGCTGTCCCCTAGTGTGTGTTTAATGCTCACTGTAGTTTCTAAATGGCTCCCATTTAGTTTTAGAATTTCTGATCTCAGACAAATCCTGCCTAAAATGGCCTGTATGTTGTTTGTTTCTTTGTTTGAGGAGGGAAAGTGAAATAGCAAAGTCTGTTGCAGAGTGAAAGGTACAACATACTGTATTACACACAAAGGTGGACTCCATTGCTTGAGTATAGATACTATGGGTCAGATATTGCTGCAATACAAGCAGACGTGGACTGGCCTTTGGAAAATTTGGGATTTTCCCCCGGTGGGTCAGTCTTGTGAGGGCCGGCCTTCTTTTTCCCCAACCCTGGAATTTTATGGCCTAGCACAGTCAGCACAATCCTTAACAGCAGGTAGGAAGTATCAAATCCATAAAAAGCCATTTGACCAGCCAAAGTGTAACAATGACAAATTTGTCTTAAAAAGGAAACATTGGCCACATTTATTTATTTATTTACCTGAAGAACTTACTTCTAAGGTGCACGTGCCTTTCTGAGTGGAAGACCCCTGTCAAAAGACTGGTTACCCTAAACTCAGATACATACAGTGGACTGGAAACAATATTTTACTTAATTTGGAATGATTCATTAACATATTTGTTTAAGTATGTATTTAGGTTTATTTCTCTTAAAATGTTTTCTTTCTTTCTTAAATTGTTATTATTATGATTTAATCTTATTCAATTTTTTCTCTGTATTTTTATTTATTTTTATTTATTTTTTGGTGCTGTATGGCTGTCTCAGGTGGGGGGGATTGTGTGCTGTGCCGTTCCTTATTTAAACTCAATAAAAAAGGTTTTCAAAAACCCAGACAACTTCATTTGAAATGTTTATCTGGGACATACTTCCTAAGGTTGGACATCTGCAAACATTGAAAACGATATTGATTCTTCATTTCAAAAATCTCAACCATGGGTGCTCTAGTTAGGAATCGTGATTATTACCACCACTGAGTTTAAATTGAACTGTTCAAGAAATGCAGCAAGTACTTTAAACATGACTGATAGTCTAGGAGTAGTTTACTGTAATTGTTTTTTCTCCTGTGATGAACACTGTCACATATTCGAAAAGAAAAGAGAATTCATCCACTGCCTTCAAATATTTCACAGTAACAAGTCTTCATAGAAATTCAGTGGAGTCAAAATATTTATGTTTCAAATGTAGTAGAGGAAAGGTCATAGGTTTCGGCCAAAAAGCGCAAGTAAATTATGGACACTTGAAAAATTTACTTTGTGATTGTCTACCCCTGATTTTACAATTCCCTCTAAACAACAAAAAAGACTAACTTTTTCAGATACTAGGGGTCTTTGGGAAAATCTCGGATTCTTGATGTCACAATTTTATTCAAAACTGACTCCTGATTGAATAACTGTACAAAAGGATCCTTCTTCAGTGCACTGTGCGAAAAGCTTTTATTTGTGTTCTTACTCCACTGAAATGCAATACAGAACATAAGTGTAATAATAAGCCAGCTGGTTTTGATGAAGATCAATGTTGAACAAAAATCAATTTTTGGTATTTGTGAATCGATTTTTCCCCACCCCTAGTAGATACCCACTTGATTTGTCTAACTCAGACTTATGAAGTCTCATATCAACTTCATCAGAACTTTAGAATGTATTTTTATGCAGGACTGTAAATTATGTCTCTCCTCCTTGACATTGGAATTACGTTTGTAATGGGATTCCTGATGGCCGGTATGGACAGAAAGAACAATAACAGCAACCAAAAACTGTTTCAGTGTACGTACGGGCATAGGAGTACTGTATTAAGATGTTCAGTTTGTTGCCTTTGTTAAATTGTCATGGTCAGTGCAAAAATCTACCCAACACTTATTGACATCAATATTAGGAAATTCAGAAATTAATGACAATATGTTTATGTCTGTGGAAGTCACCAGTTCACCCTGACTGGTATATTGGTCTTACTGACCTATCACAGAGATATCGGTATCGTTATCTGATATGCACCAATATGAAAACAGTTTTCTCTGGTATATAATGCAGAAAATGTTTGTGGCAAAGTTTGACAAGTAGAATGCGCTGTGATTTCCAAACCTGTAGCAGGCAGCCCAGAGTAAGAGAGAAGAAGCAGCTCTCAGCAATGTCAACTAGAACTGGTTGACAATGCATATTAAATTATTTGTTTAAGAAAGCAGCCTGCTGAGTACCTTTGTACTGGTATATTGGTGCACAATCCACATAAAAAAGGTCTTTTTTCATTCCAGCTCCATATTGATAATCAACCATTTCTTTCAGTGGCAGAGGCTGAGATGCTAGCAGTGGGTCACAGGATGAATCTAAGAGGTCACAAGAGGACTACAGGGGCAGGAAATGAGGACTGTTTTACTGTTCTCTAATTATGCGCTTTTGTCGTAAAATACATTATATAAAAATAAATGATTTAAATTATATTATCTAAATACGTTTTATATTCTCAGGCCTGTAACATGATTCAATTAAAACAGTGCGAGAATGAATGAACAGCTTGTAGCACACAGACATGCAACCTGTGATAAGGTGATCCACTTAGACATTGCGACATATTAGGAGGTACCAATTCAAAAAGGCTGGGATGTTACGTTGATCACTGACCTGCTGACCTGAAATGATTTAGTTTCGACTGTGAAACCATTAACAGACTGAATAAGCAAATCAAACGAAATACTGTGATATTTTTAAAAACTTGCTTCTGTATCAATATACAACTACAAATAAGCCATTAACATGGGGATCACTATTGGTGCTTTAGGGATGAAAATAGTTGAGTATTAAAGTTAATTTTAGACACTGGAAAAAAGAGGGTTGATGATAGCTAAGCCCTATTTATATTAATCATTGTCATGAGAATGGTTTGATTGTCTCAACTATGAAAAAGCTTTTCAAGGAATCTCAGGCTTCTGTTTGTAGTTTATTTGAACCACTTGAGTTATTAGTTATTAATATATAAACTACATCCCGTCCTACAAGTACGCACAGGAGACATAGAACAGTGTGCACACTATTGTGGGTGAAAATAATAATTGCATTTGCATCACTTGTACTGGGAGTGCGACTGTTTCCCAGCAACACCTACCAGGCAGCATTGCTGTGGGCGCTGTCGTCTAGGTGACAGAGCAACTCCAGGGTTTGGGGGTTGTGGGCGGAGTCATCAGGTGACTCATGACTTCCTGTCTCCCAATCTGAGGGCATCCGCCATACTGCCGCACAGGACACCACCCTGCTGTCGCTGGCTGGAGGAGGACAACACACACACACAATTAATCACAGTTTGGTAGAGTACTGTGTGTGTGTGTGTGTGTGTGTGTGTGTGTGTGTGTGTGTGTGTGTGTGTGTGGTTGGACAGGCGCTAATACGGTGACGTGGATGCACTTTCCTCCAAATCCACATTACAAATGAGTTATTTTGGCACATCCACACCAGAGCCAGAGCTGCTAATTGGAACCAGTGGAGTAAATGCAGAATTGATACAGTAATTGGACTAAAAGTTTGAGGCTGGAGGGCATAACCAATCACAATCACAGAGAGAGAGAGACAGACAGAGAGAGAGCAAAAGAGCCTAATTTCTTTTTGGTGTAGATATTGACAGTGTGTGGGCAGGCATTGGGCTATGAAACACTGGCGTTAGGCCTATTTGTCAAATTAAAAAGCAACGTGGTGCGAGTGCACAGGCTCTTGAGTGGTTTTAGACAACCTTGCACTTGGAGTAAGTGGGCAGGCAATCATCTTGAACAAAAGCCTTTTCTTGCTCACATACTGGAGTGCCGGTGGGGGACGTATGGAAACGCTATATGAACGCAACTGTGTATGTGTGTTTATTACACCTACGTGTGTGTTGTATGTATATATTTTGGTGTGCCAGTGTGTGGTGTGTGCAGCAGTGCATAGCGGGCTGTCTGAGCTTCAGCCTAGTCCAGAGTGGCTGTACACCTGTGAACTCAAGCATGTAGAACTCAGCTGACAGAGAGCGGGAGACAGAGGAGGGAAGACAAGGAGGGTGGTGGAGGGTTGTGTGTACCCCTAAAGGCCTACACTGCACTCTGCATCAACCTCCCCATGCCCCATCTGACATGGCTGTCTACTCCTGCGTGACACAACCTCAGACACTCAAACATCTTCTATACTTGTGAGAACCCTAACCCTAACCTAGTTCCCATCCTAAACCTGAAAACCAATCTTAACATACATGAAGTCCTCACTTTATATCTATATATCTTATTCACAATTAATACTGATGCCTCGACCCACATAGGCAAACAAGACCATCAATGAAAGATCTGCTATTTCTATATGGTTATTCTTAAAGCCTGCCACCAGGTCAGAATCCCTGCAACGTTAGACATAATGATTTATGGCACACATGAGCCTTTAAGAGCTTATATTTAAATTTTACCAGGCAAACTTTGGCAGTGAGTTGTAGGTTAGCCAGTTAAAAGAAAGCAGAAGCAATTTATTTTGTTTAGTTGTAGGCTATTTATGTAATCTAGGTGTATGAACAGTACTAAAACAAAGTTTACTTTATTTCACCATTATCATGTTAAAGTTTTTAATCTTACATTGATGATGGAGCACTGTGCATAAAAGTTTCGCAAGTAAATAACGAGTCAGTTGAACTTGCCGTCTTCTACATGTTCTTCTTTCTCTGGCATTTGGCGGCAGACTAGAATATTTATAGGCGTATATGCTGCACAATCAGGTCCGGGAGGATTGCATCAGTACAATCAGTACTGTAGGAAACGAGTATCGTCAGGTTTTCAAATTTTATTTCATTGCTTAACTCGTCAAGAATATTTCAGGCGACACAGTGCTACTTAGTATTTGAAACCATGTTTTCAGGGGCTTTGACAAAAATATAGTACATAGTTACCAGACTCTTCAAACTGTATATTGACATATTGCATATTGACAATATTGACATATTGAGTTTTAGACTGAAAAAGTATTGGTTAGGCTCTTGTTTTTGTTGTCGTGATTTCAACATTTGGAATTTATCAGCCAACAATTAGTATCGGACAATATTCGCCTTGCTGACTGACATCGCCCTATCGTCAAATAACATGTCATCCACCACTGTCAGTGGCTGATGATTATCTGTTGCCTTGCATCAATTGTTTTTGTTGGTTTCCAATCTGAATATTGGAGAAACAATCACCTCTATTTCCCAGCACTGACACAAATTGCACGCAGATACCGATATGCTCCATGCAGCAGCACGGGCAGTGAGCACTGTTCAGCTCTGCGTCTCACATCTTAGATGAGAAGAGAAATCTTTGCAGATTTCTTTGTTTCCTGGTACAAAAGGGTGAATAAATAATAACAAAAAAACATTGATATTGATGATTTATTTTGGCAGATATTGGAATTGTGATTTGATTAGCAATTATTTTCACTTTCACTGTAAACAATTTGATGATGTGACATTTGTTGAGGTCTGTATAACCAAAGAAACATGTTTTAATACTTAATACCAGAAGATCGGTAGGTCAGGACATCCATGCAGTACTACAGTATTTCAATATAATGCTGTTTTGTCACACATTTTGCCTTTATTAAAAACTGCATGGCGTGAAAGCACAGCTGATGTGCATGTGACCTTCAAAGATCTTCTCCTGCCTGAGAATGACTTCTTTAGCTCCTGCTATTATCCCTCATGTGGGTCATCATGTCCACACATTAGTATTGATTCTATCAGAGTCTGAACATGTCTTCTAACACAGTTGCTACTGTTAGACCTGTGAATACAGACTGGCTGTTATTGATCACCTGTTAGAGACCAATTACATGTTATGATTCTTAACTAAACTGCTTGAGGTCACTAGGTGGAAGAGACAAACAGAAAGAGAAAAGAACTGGAAGATAAAGTCTGTACAAAATGGGGACAATAACTGAAAACAGAAAGAAAGAAAAAAAGAAAAACACGATGCTTAAAGAGGCAGTGAATGGAGCCAGAGACAGAAGGAAACAGTAGGACTCACTTTTGTTATAGCAGGTGGTAAGCACAGCCTTATCTGCAGGACTGGCGCCAATGTGCCATATCTCCCCAGCTTGGTGCAGAAGGACATTCTTATTAATGATGTTATTCTCATCATCAAAGTCAATGATGTGGATCTGGAAGAAAAGCAGAGACAGAAGAGGAGAGATGCGTTGAGGATGAAGCTGGAGTTAAAACACTGCACGCTCCTCCCTCCACACACACACAGCCGCAGTTCAAAGCTCCATTCACTCCTCTGATTCTCCCGAAAAAAGAAAAAGGTTCTTCTTTTTAATATGACAGTAAACGTAATTTCAAGGCAGGCATCTCTTTGGTTCTTTTTTTCCCTGTCAACTTCATACGGCTGAAGACTTTTCATCGTGATTTGGCCTTTAAAGCGACGATTAAGACACTTTTAGAAGTCACACTGGATTCATGGGAGTTCTGGATATGACATGTTGGAGGAGTCAGAGGCAGAGGTACAACAAAAAGGAAATCGATAAAAGCTCATTCCAACTTTTTTTTTTTTTTTTAAAAACAAATGGCCCTGCTAAAATAGGCTGTGCATGAGGTGCATTATCCAAGAGAGCTTTTCTGTGAAAGGGCTTTAATTGTGTACTTTTTTAAAAAGACATTTTTTGTAAGCAAACCTTTGGCAGCAGATGATAATTTAGCTATAGCTAAGCACACTCTAATTTCACTTGTACTGTTTTGATCTGCATAGTGTGTAACTTATCAATTAAGCACATTATGGCACTCATGAGTGGGGCAGCAACAATATACTGTAGAAAACATTTCTTTCCTGCAGTATTAGAACGTTACCTTGTCTTGCAGTCTTAATGGACCACTCATGGCAAAAAATAGAATAAAAATCTACTGAAAATCCCAAATGCTGTCTTCACTATGGCGTTAACATGTGCTGTACATAGACAAAAAAATAAATTATAGTGTAGAAAACCTTGTGGTTTTTTTGGGTCTAGTGAGTAGGATTTAGTGGCATCTAGTGGTGAGATTGCAGATTGCAACAAACAGAATACCCCTTGCCTCACCCTCCCCTTCTAAGCATATAAGAACTTAGATAGAACATAATAGTGTCGGTGAAAGGCCCTTTTTAGTTTGTCCGTTATGGGCTACTGTAGAAACATGGTGGTTCAACATGGTGGGACTCTGTGGGAGAGGACCTGCTTCCTCTGAAGATAATGATTATTCTTCATTCGTTCATTCTGAAAACATGCTTATGATTTTAATATTCCATTTCTGCCTCCTTAATGTAACACACTGGACCTTTTAAAGGGACAGTTAAATACTCCTTGTTTTGTTCCCCAAGAGTCAGACGAGAAGATCGATACCACTCTCATGTGGCCTCTCATGCCAATTACTTCGAGAGCTCATTAATTAACATGCATCTCAGGTCTTTAATCTGTACATGCATAACAGAAACTTAATTTTTATGACATTTTATAGTTTCAGGGGAAATTGGTTGCTTTAACATTCTTGGCAAACAAAAGTCAGGTGAAGTGACTTTCCTGGAGTTTTGCTATCACACTGACTTTGCCAGTTGTGGTACGATTGTGCATACAGGGACATAAGCTTTAGAGGCACTGGTTGTCATACCTTTTAAACTTTGGGGATATCTAGGCTAGCAGTTTCCTGCTGCTTCTAGTCTTTATGCTAAGCTAGGCCAACCCTGACCCTGACCCTTGCTCTATACTCACTCACAGACATGAGAGTAGAATACCTTCATCTAACTCTCAAGAGGGACAGCAAATTATTTCCCAAAATGCTAAACTGAATTAAGATTCAGTTCAAAACAGATTTTTCCTTCAACCTAGAAAATCTCAAACCAGTTGCAGATGTGTAAGAATATCTGACACTCTTTGTGTATGAGGTTTGCATTCTTTAAATATAATTTATTGAAGCTGTGGGCAAAGCGTAGACTGTATTTGTTACCCATTTTATTGCATTTCTTTTGAATCAAGCAGCTCAGCAAATGAGTGCTCACTCTGAACAACTGATGTCAAAACCTTGAATTATGCAGTACCAATATTATTCGTAATACGCAAGAATTCCAGTTTTGAATTAGCTGAATAGGCTGATTGAAACGCTTGTGTTGGCTGGTAAGAAACCTGTTATATATGTGTTATGCCAAAAAACACTGAGGCTGTATATAAGTCTGGCCAGCAACTTCAACACTCTGGGTACCAACCAAAATGTGTGCTAGACCTGTCAAGGCATTAAATGCATGCTGGAATTCATTTTCTTTTCTTTTGGTATTCCTTGATAAGACAGATTTTCTCATTTTAGACTGTGTTTTACTTACTATACAGATGCTTGTGTTCAGACAACAATTAACATTTTAAAGGTTTGACTTCTTTTGATGAATAAAAAAGGGGTTTGTAGACACAAAAAATCTAATCCTCAACGTACTGAATAAAGTATTGTTTTCGTCTCAGTGCTGAAACTGAAAAGGCATCAATTAGCACAAGTCACAAAAAAAATCTTAACTCAAAAGTCCACAATAAATTGGGTTACACCTTAGCTGAGTCACTGCTGATCTCTGCCATTGCACAACCTCAGCTTTCCTGGTTCCAGTGTACTCATTACTTCATATTAGAAATCTTCATGAGGATCTTCAAGTATGCAAAAGATTTTAAGAACTTGTTAACAACTAAATTACTATAGAGCACCAGAAATACTTACAGGTTAACCTGATCTGTAATGCTGAAGCCTCGGCTACACTGAAAACACGATCAACAGCTGTCTTAACTTTACGGCACACAAGTTTAACAAACAAGCTAAACTTTTATCCATAAGAGGTTAATAGAAACTCCTCCTTACTGAGCTCTTTTCATTAGATGGAAATCTATTCTAAGAGGGCCCTCGATTGAATGCAGTTCAGGGCCTACAATGCAGTAAAACAGTGAGGGTCTCAAGGTTTGATCAGACAATTAATGGCAGTTTCTCCCATAAGAGAGACACTTACAGCACCTTGGGGGACCGTTAATGGGGTTGCACTGGACAATAACTCCTGCTAGGCACTTCCACTCCCCTTCCCTGTACTACTTTTACAGGCTAAACAAGAGGATGAAAGGAGGGGGTGTGAGGAGGAGGAGGAGAAGAGCATTGGTGCGGCAGCATCCTTCAGCCTCCTCAAAGTCAGCTAGGCGGCTATTAACCTTGGGTTGGACTGCATCGAGCAAAAAATTATTACGCAAAGTTATAATTTTATGGTGGTGGGGGAGCGGTACAAATAAATTCAGGCCGGCGGGACAGGGTAATTGGAGGGCCTAGTAATAGGGTCCCCCCGAATGAACCCAGGTGTGAGGGTAGAGAGAAGTTCCAGCCTTCCTCCCCCAGGTGATTTATCCCTCATTCTTCCAGTCCTGGGGAGTGACTCATAGCCTTCAGCCACTTGGGCACCCAGCCCAGCACTTTTAATTATGTGCCGATGGTGGGAGGAATTGAGGCACAGAGAAGGAGAGGAGGGAGATTGGGAAGAGGGGGTAAGGGAGGGATAAAGCCAAGCTGGCTCGTGGCCCCCACTTCAGGGGCCTCTCCGCTAAAGCTCTTTAGCCGCACAGATGACAGTAAGCGGGGCGGAGGAGTAGCGAGCGGGTGAGAGGTGCCAAGCTCGGGCGCTTTATCTCGTTAGCAGCCTTAAATGCCATGCCGACGCGCCCTCCGATTTGTCATTCCAGCTATTGGTCTCTGAGGGATTTGAGAGGTGCTCTGCGAGTTAAGAGAGACATTTCCACCCTGCATTATGCTTAATGGGAGGTGGAGAGGCCAGCAGGCTTATGGATACAGCAGAAGCTATCAGGGCTGAAATGCCAATCGAAAAAACATTTTTCACATTGCAAGTTCAAACTTAGACGAACTGAGCTAACCAATGTTGGCCAGCAAACTTATGCAGAGTGGAAAAGACTTCATGAATAAAACGGACTGCACTGACTGAACCTCCAAATCAAATGTAGGATCATCTCAAAGGCCATGACCTAAAAGATGAATTATGATCCCTATTAGATTTTACAGCTTTGAACACTCTTTTGACATTTATATCCGAAAACAAAGTCAATGAAGCATTTTATTTTACAATTTACCAACAAGGGTTTGAATTCTATATGTTTTCAAAGTACATAACTTCAGCAATCCATTCACACTAAAGGCCTTACACATTGTAATAACAGCGATGGTGTACATTCTTTGCATGCCACACTGTGATAAATGGTTCTAATAAGATCTTGGTGTGGGAATGTACAATGTTAATTTTGAAGGATGTTAGGGCGTGCAATCAACGCATGGTGAACGGTGGTACTATGATGTCAATTTAGAAAATGTGCAAACAATTTTAATTTTTACGTGTTGTAAACGCAGAAAAACGAAAACAAGTTTAGTTAGGCAGTTTAGCAGTAGGATTCTTCTTAACTTTAATCAAAAAAGTGCTTCCAATTTTGTGTTGGACTGAGTGTTCTTCGTACTTTTGAGCTCTAGTTCAACTGGTTGGTTTGTAGTTGTACAATGTGTGATTCAACCACATCTGTAGGCAAAAGTCCCATGGTCACACGACAAGCCTGCCATTATAGATTCCTCCTGACTGCATCCGACTGCTTCGCGGATATCTCTCAAAGAATTCTGTGTCCTTTGCGTGACTTTGTAGTTTTGGTGCGATTAATCATATATATATTTGTACAATTTGGGACAGTCTCTCCTTGAAGGCATTCAAGGTATAGCAATCAGTTTGTACACACGAAAAGTGTAAATAGTTTTATGAAGATTTCTAAAAGAGAGCTTGAGAGAAATGTTCACACACTGCCTACTTCCACACCTCAACACCTAGCCAATCAGGCCGAGATTAACTGGAAGCTACAAAAATTGGGAATCAGAAAAGGGCTTCTTAAACTGTTAGCTGAAACAAATACTTTGTTTAATATATACTGAGGCCTCGACACTGATAGAATTTTGATGCAGGATTTGTTTCCAACACGTATGACGTGTTGCCGGACATTTTTGGAAGGAAATGTTTTTGAAAGTATGTTCCAAAAGGCCACACTCGAAGGCGGGTTGAAAATCCGCCCGTCATAGAGAGGGCAATGTGATTTTTTTTAAATATGGGGAAAACGACACACATTTTCAAACA